ATTATAATTAATCTATCATTAAATATTTTATTAACTATTGTAAATATTTATTCTTGTTATATTCTTCACAAAAAAATAATAAAAAACTGTATTTTATTTTTTTTTTAAACTATTCTAATTAAATTGGTAATGATAATTTAAAGTATCTTGTATTTAAAATACTTTAATTTAGCCAAAGATACAAGTAACTTTTATCTCGTATCTTTTTCATATTTTGAAAAAATATACTAGTATTTATATCTAATATTCATTTTTTTATAAAGAATCGGTATCTGTATCTAAATTCTTATTCCGGAGGACCTGTCCAACTCTGGATATAGTCCCACCTCTTATTTAACTTTATCTAGGTTACAAGGTTTGTTGGTATTCTTGAGGAAAAAATCGGTATAATTAATTGGTAGATGGGCCTATATATAATTCTCTTATGCTCACTTTCGGTAGGTCTATGACCAATATGCAAATTATTATTTTCTGATGACCTAACTGCGTCATGCTATTGGCACGTCATGTTATAGGTGCGTATTTATTATTTTTAATTAAAAATATCAAAATAAAAAAAATTAAAAATAGATATTTTATCATATGTTTTGTATGCAGAATATTTCTTCAAATCATTCTGTTTTTAATTCAACTCAACAGTATTCAAGTTAATTCAATTATATATATGTGATTCTCAGTTTTTAAACCAATCCTAATAAAATATACACAGTTTTTCTTCAAATCCTTCTATTCTAAATTTAATTCAACAGTATTCAAGTAAATTCAATTTTAAAGGGTCATATGAAATTTTAATTACAATGTTGGGCAGATTTGAAATAAAATATAATATTCAAATAAAATTAGAACTAATTAGTCACATATGAAATTTTAATTATAGTGTTGTGCAGATTTGAATTAAATTATATTATATTGAAGTAAATTATATATATGTATTTTAGATATCAATTTGAAAGAAACATCTATGGTGACCTCTATGGAGGTTCAGTCAATTATTATTTTTTAAATTTTTATTTTATTTTTATTTTGGATAACAGGTTCTGTCTTAACCTCTCTTAATGATTGTACAGATGCTGATTAGCTATTTAAAAAAAATGGCAGGTTAATCAACAAAATAAACTTTCCAGAGATCGTAAAACCTCGCAAAATTAATCAACAATACAAAGTAAAGTTGCATCTATAAATATCAATTTATTAGCTAAATAAAAATTTCAATATTCTTGCCTGATGTTAACTTATACTATTTAAATATATGAAATTACTTTTTAAATGAATCTAGATAAAAGGATCTAGATACAGATATGAATGTATCTGACAGATCAAATTTTATTATATTTATATACAGGGTTTGCCGTTGTTTTCGAACATAGACTCTAATTATGTAAGCACAAAATACTTAAACATATTTTTAAATCTTGTTCTCATTAACATAAATTTTAAAAAAAGTCAAACTCTTATTTTTATCATTCTTTCGTATAAATTCTCATTTAAAATGAGCATTTATTTAAAAAAAAAAAACTTATAATTTATTCATTAAAAGTCAGCGGAATTGTACAAAATTATTTGAAAAAATTTTAAATAAATTTATTTGCTTAAAATTTTAAATAAATTTATTTGCTTAAAATAATTTTGGGAATGTTGTTTTTAAGAATTAATGGGCATCATGGCTAAGGAAGGGTTATAATATTCCTTTACACAAGAAATATCCTTCACAATCATGAACTGACATCTATAAAGGAAAAAGAAATTTAATGAATATTATATTATTTTTATATATACGTTTCAATATTATATATATTATTTTTTATTTCGTCTTAATATATTTTAATATATATTATTTAAACTAGTAGATAGCCCGTCAAAAATGACGGGGAATGAGAATTTTCTTCCTTCTTTTACGATAGATGTTACCTTTTATTTGAAACCATATTCAATTTTTATTCATTTTATTCCTCCACCCCTCTTCAGGCCAAGTCCAACTGAAGAGGATATTTTGTGAGTAAAATATATTTAAATTAGCTTTTACTTAGACCCAGATCAAAATTCTTTGTTAAAATAATACTGATTACCTATGGCTAATATTTAATATTAAAAAATTCCAAGCCAAATCCAAGTCCGCAATAGTTTTAAAAAAATTCCCCCAAGCCCGGATGTAGTTAAATTTCTAATTAATTTATCATCAAATGAAAGGGAAATCTCTGATTCGGGTTAGCTCCTAGTATACAAACAAAAAAAACACGTGAATACGCACACCTCTTAATAGAGAATCATGACAAAATCAGGTCTGTCCTAATATTTTTATAAGAAATAACAAATCTTAACTCGTTTTATTGGAGATAACCCAAAAAATTAAGTTATGAAAAAAAATATGGAATAAAATTGCGTCCACGCAGGACTGTAGCCATGGGAGACCCCGGGGGGGGGGGCAGGTACCCCCAAAAAATTTTTGGCACCCAATCCTAGCCCCCCAGAAAAAATCTTTGGCCCCCAAATTGGGCCCCATAAATTTTTCCGGCTCCCATTTCCGGCCCCCCAATTAAAAAATTTTTTTTACTATATTATTTTTATATTTTTAAAACATGTCTAGTTTGTAAATTTCTTTCTATCCTGTTTTATTTTTATCCTTTAATAAATCATCATTCATTCATATTTTATCATTTTCATGTGTGTTTGTTAAATTGTACTTATTTCAATGATAATTATTTTATTTATTATGGTTCAATCATAATATTATTATTTATTTAAAACAGAGATGAATATTTTAGAATTATGAAGAAAACTGAGTTAACAACAATTTTGGTAAGACAACAAATTAACCGTAATAAGGTTACGTTTAATCACAGGTGATCCAAAAGTAGGCTTTTACCCTCGACAAAGAAAATCAATTAAAATTTATCGATCCAATCATATCCATACATGGGTCATTAAGTCCCGCTGACCATAACTAAATATATTATTTTAAATTATTTTTTCAATTTCACTTCTTTTAATTATATATTTTAATATAGAATATAGATATAGTATGTCAATTATAATTTTTCATCATTGTTTTGTTTTATTTTCATAACTGTGCATTGAAGTTTTTTAAAAATAAAAGTAATAATATAATCTTTAATATCTTAAATCAATATTTGATTGGTTATTATTTCTTAGCATAGAGGAGCTACCTTTTCGCGGGATTGGTTCAACAAAAATTACCGATGCTGCAAAAGATGAAAACATAATTTATTCTTCTGGACTATATATAGCTATGTTTCATAAACCATCCAAAAAGACCCTTTATAAAATTATGAAATACCCAAAAATACCCAATATACATCATCCCAGATTCAAAAGGAAGTAATATTTATTATGGAGGATACGGTGCTTGAAATATCTCAGATAAATATAACAAAAGTGAGTGCCTTTTTTTTGTCTTAAACCTGATGAGGCAAAAGATGCATCAGAATTGACAAAACCTGAGCATAATTATTCACTATATTTTTATCTGGAGAAATTCAAGAAAATTTAATAGGAATTATTAATTTACAGTGTCTTTCTACTGAAAGCATTACTGATTGCATGAGTTAAATATTAATTCAACGAATTTAATAAGCCAGGTATATGACCGTGCAAACGTCATGTTTGATCAAAATGGAGGAGTGCAAATCCTTCAAAAAATAATTAATAAAAAAGTTCCTTTTATATGCTATAACCTCAAGTTTCATATTGTGGTTCAAAATTGGTATAAATTGTTATCATTTCTAATTTTTTTAATTTATCTAATGCATTGTATAATTTTCTAGACATTTTAAAGTATCCTGTAAATATACAGGTCATATCTTAAGAGACTTTTAGCCAGAGGTAGACGGTCATTCATAAACATCTCGCATTATTTATGAGAATTTTGATGCTATTGGTGAAGTATTATTTTACTTTTCAAATAGAACTCTTAATTCAGAGGTTTTCACTCATGATTCAGTCAAAACCTCTAGTCTTTTATCTCAATGCGTTAATATAAATTACGTTATATTAGCTTATATTATGAGATATAATAAAAATTAGATCCACTAAATAAGTATCTACAGTCAGTAGGTACTAATCTAGTGGATGCTAAAAATTGTATTGATTCCACTATCAATATATTTTAAAATAAAAGAAGGGATAATTCTTTTCTTGATTAAAATTAAGGCTCGTCGATCGCAAGGGCTGACATTGCCTCCATTGCCGCTTTTGCCGAGGCCGTTTTCCACGGCACACCAATTGCAATGACATCATATTGCGGGCTCTCAAGTCCGCAGGCATTCCATCAAGACTTGAACCGACCGGCATCTTTAGATCCGACGGAAAACGTCCTGATGGAATGTCCTTGATTCCTTGGTCAAGGGGCCAGCTACTAGTCTGGGACTTCACCTGCATTGACCCAAATGCACCACCCAACCACAACGTCGATGCCCTCGCTCTAGCAGAAACTCGTAAAACTATCAAATATAGTTCCATAGACCCCTCTTTCTTATTCATACCTATCGCCTGCTCTACTCTTACCACCTTCGGTAGCAAAGCTCTAAGTTTTTTTAAAGAATTAGGCAAACGGATTCGGGAAAAAACCGATCAGCCTAAAGAGTCCCTTTTCTTACGACAAAGACTTGCTACCGCCATCATTCGCTCTAACTACCTAAGTTTCATCTCTTCCACTGAATAATCTCCTATGTTTATGCTCTCTCTCCTTTCTCTTTCCTAGTTTCTATTCTTTTATCCCTTACCCTCTTTCGCCAATTATATTTTTATATTTTTTTACCTTTATTAATTTTACCATATAAAAAAATTTATTATTTGCTATAAACTTTTGATAACATATTATATCAGCAACTATTGAAATAAAGAGAGAATTTACCCAAAAAAAAATTTACAAATATATCTGTTTACTAAATATATATTCGGCTTTTTGTCATTTAACTCAATCTGTTTATTCGAATTGCAATTCACATGGAAATTCTAAAAGGGGATTCTCTACCTACCTTTAAAGAATATTTTGAAGAAATGGAAGAACAAAGCAAAACTAATAAAAAAATTATAGATATTTTACATGAAATTGATAAAAATCCTTTTCGATATGATCTATATTTAACTTTGATCAAAGTAATATAGCTTTATATTATATTAACTAAGTTGTTTTAGATTTATAAAGAAAATGGCGATTTTGAAGAATTACGAGATGTTAGAAAAAAAATATCTAATATATTTCCTTTGCCGCCTGATATATGGCTAGATTGGATTAATGTGAGTTCATATTGATATATATAATAAGATAATTATAAGATTTATATTAGATTATTAAAAATTATGCTTTAAATTATTTAAAATATATAATAAAAATTGTAGATTTAATTATAATCTAATTTTTAGAGCTACTAAATACATTATTATCATAATATATAAAATATATTGGGGAACTAATAAACTTTCTGCATTTTCTTTTGTAAACAGGATAAAACTTATTTATTACTTTTTGTATGTTCAAACAACACTTTTTAAAATAATTAATTTTATCTGCCTAATTATATTTAATTTTGTTTACTATGTTTTAAGTACATAAACAATTATTTAAACCTACACAGATACTTATCTCTCATTTTAATTTGAATAAATTAGTTATGAATTATGTATATGAATTTCTTATTAATGTTATTAAGTATAAGTGTTGGAATCATAAGTTATTTATATAATATTATAGATGAATACATAGTTATGTGATTTTTGTTAAATACTTGGACATACATAAATTAGGTCAATAAATTTGGTGTATTATAATAAAGTAATTAGCTTGACATACCTTTTTTTGTTTATTATTGTCTTACTCTGTAATTGAATTATGCATTATTATATACTTTATCTTGCTTTATTCCTAGCAGAATCGATATTTTTCTGAAGCCAACCTCTTAGATTAGGTTTGGATATGGTTAAAAAAATTTCAGATATTGGGTAAGGTTAATATATGTTGAAACACAAAAATCTGCTCACTTTTCCTTTAATAATATATGAGTCTCACAATTTTAATTGCTTTAGAATGGGAGGGGGGGGGTGCTTAGAACTTTTAAAATAAAAATCTGATACTCTAATATTATTTTTGGCACCCTATATTTATTTGAGCAACTTTAATTTTCACATTGTATTTTCAAACATTTAATTTGTTATTAACATAATTCGTCATTCTTTGTTTCTAGGGCTGTTCCGATATTAAGGATCGGTACCGATATTTAGCGTTTTCCGAAAATATCGGAACAGGTTGATACCTGTAAAAAACTGACCCGATCTGATCTTTTTACTTTTCTTTTCTTTTTTTTGTTTTTTATGTTATGTATTATTTTACATTATTATAATATTTTCTAAATTATTTTTTTAAATTTTATTTCTTTTTTAAAATGTATTTATAGTATTTTAAAAGTTTTTTTTTATAAAAATAGAAAGGAACACCCAAAGTTTTATTTATTTTATTTTAAATGTTTTAAATAACGCCAATTTTTTTATTTATACTTTAAATAAAAGAATTTTTTTAAATATGGTATCTGAATTATGGAAATATTTTACAAAAGATAATTTTTGCAAAATGTGTTATCTGAGGAATCATCTGAGTCTGCCTTCAATACGGCAGGAGATATATAGTCCATATCATAGAAGCTTACTCCCAGAAAATCTAGAGGCTCTCATATTTATTAAAAAAATCTAATATATTATAATTTTATATATTAAATATTACAATTTTATAATTCATACCAACATAAAATGTATATATTATTAAATATATATTTTTTATTATAGTCTTAATTGTAGAAATAGAAAAATTAAATTAAATTCATAATTTGATTTTTACATAAAAAATATTGATTTCTTAATTACATTTGGTTCAAATGGGGGTGATTAAAAATCAGTATAATTATCGGATCAGTATCGGATTGGTTTTGAAGCAATATCGGAAAATATTGGATTGGGTCAGTGAAAAATATGTGGATCGGCACAGCCCTATTTATTTCTATCAAGATATACTATGCAACACAGTGCTGAGACTTTTGATGGGTCAGGCCAAAAATTAATCTGATGGCCCCTTAAAAAACACAATTTACCTAAGCATATTTCATAATTATTTTAAAAAATGCCTTTTCAGCTGCAGTTATTAATTCTGGTATATTGAATAAGAATCTAAAATTATCTTTAAGTAGCTTTAACTGCTGTAAATGTCCCTCACAAATTTCTCGCTTGATCTTGTAATACATTGAAAGAATCAATCTTATAGTTATTTATGTTGTAAATGTTAATAAAATCAAAATTTCAGAGTGCTAGCTCAACCAGATTCAAAGATATACGCCTTCAAAGTCGAAAATCGCGAAGTGCGTGATTTTGCGTGATTTCTTTAAATCGTGTTTTTTAAAAAATACTTAAGACAGATTTACAAATTATATATCATTTTATAGCCCTTAAAATTTTACTTTGGAAAATATAAAAAAAAAATTAAAAAATTTCAAGTGTTTTCTTATTTCCGGTAAAAATAAAAAGTTAACATTGTTAGGAAGGGATTTTTTTGGGTGTTAATATTCACTAAAAATGTTTATTACCTTTATATTAAACGATTTAATAAAATTTTTATAAATAAAAAAATGTAATACAGATGGCGTTATATTAAAATATTTTTATAATATATAATTTTTAATAAAAATATGAATATAGTATTGTGATTTAAACTAAAAAATCAATTGAGTATAATCTAGAATGATGTCCTGGGGCGATATGTAAGCAGGCAGCTTATACAGATATTATTTTATTTGGACGCTATATTGTAAAATAAACATATTTTAAAATTTTATATACTTCACTATCTACTATCGTTATTATTTGATTAATGGGTAACCAAATCTTTTCCTCAATTGTGGGGTAAAAGAAGGATTGTGATGGTCCATGGGGATATAAAAAGCAGAGTTGTTAATCGCTACTTTTAAAAGTAGCGCGCTACCACTATCGCTATTTGTCAAAAAATTAGCACGCTACTGCTATCGCTATTTGTCAAAAAAAGTAGCTCGCTATTAGCTAATATTTAAAGTAGCCTTAGCTACTTTTAGGCTACTTTTTATAAAAAAAAATTTAGAAACAATTTTTTTTTTATTTTGCATATAATGTAATTGTATAGTAAATATTATATAAAAATCAACATAAAAAATTTATGTAATAAATTTTAAATATTTATGGTAATTTGTTGAATTTTAATGATAAAATCATTTCAATATTATCATCCCCAAGTCTAGAGCGACGATCAGAAAGTATCAGTTTTGCCTTACTAAATAATCTCGACACTAGCACTTGAGGGCAAGTGATTATTTAATCTTATATACATTGTTGTGTCCAACTATCAGCCGTGGTACATATATGAGATATCTCTGATAATTCTACTATTAAAGCATCTTTCATCACTTTAAACTTATTTGCTATTTTATTCACAAGTGTCTGGCGACATAAAATAATTGTACCAGGTGATAAAGTTTTAATCATCATAGTAAATGATGGATTATCAACCAAGGACATTGGTTGAACTGTATCAATTATAAAATCCACAATAACTTTATCAGTTAATTTCTGAGAAATATTGGCATTTGTATTATTAATTAATTTTGTCTGAATGGAATTAGTCTTTTTGGATGTAGATTCACCTATGCCAAAGTTATTTAAATGTTGTTCAATTTCCTTAAAACTATTAGCATGAACAGTCTTTTAAAATAAATATTATTATTTTATGTAAAAATGATAATTTACCTTTAGGTGTTTCTTGAGGTTATAGCTACTGGATTGATTTGAGGAAATATTTTTTTTACATTTTAAACATATAAATTTGAAGTCAGTTTTTGTTTTAATATTTATCTTGAAAATTTTTTGAAATCTAGGGAATGGGAAAGTATTGCTATGAATATCATTTTTTTCCCTAGTATCTTCCATAATATCATTGTCTGACTCTAAATCACTTTCAACGATTTGGAACCGTATGCGATGCCATTTTAAATTATTAACAGGTGATTTAGATTTATAATACAAATTGAAAATATATTTCAATTTCAAAATTAAATAATAAATCATAAAAATTATAATTAATTATGGTATTATATTTAAATTTTCATGCTTATACTTACATTCATTATATTTTTTAAAAGTAGCACGCTAAAAAATTAAATAATTTCAAAAAAAGTAGCCGCTATTAGCTATAGCTACCAAAAAAGATAGCGCGCTGCTACTTTAACAACTCTGGTAAAAAGGATATATATCTCCTAAGTAATTTCATTATTTTTTAGTACTGTGGCCACCAATCGTCATAAACACATGTTACGAATCCTTTAATATCGGCAAAAAACAAATTATCGGCAATAGGCAAATTATTAGCATTTGAGATAATGTTAATATGAAAGTCCTCTGCATATGAATATATTTTTGATTTAAGCTTACTTAAACTCAAAGGAAATACAGCATGTATTTCCTGAGTTCCTGGAATGGGACGTGCTAAACTGAATCTTTCCCGAAGTTTAATCTCTTGCAAATTGTATTGTTCTTTTGTTATATAAGTAAAATTTGATGGAATGTTTTGTTTTGCAAATTGATATAAATCAATTGGCGTTAAAATGTGGCCAGAACTGATGCGCTGAAGGTTTAAACGTGCTGCTAATCATTTTAATGTTCTGCCAAGGCCGTCACATGGACCTTTTCCATGGGATGTAGCTGAAAAATGCCATTCAGCTGCTACACCAAAATCTGATTCATGATAACATAGATTTATAAAAAATTTTCTGTTTTTATATCGCAGATGATCCGTCAGAGCAGTAATATATTTTGTTTGGCTTTTTGTTGAATTGATTGATCAAAAACTTTATCATTTTAGTCTGGTATAAATGTACTGCAATAACATCATGTTGAAGTGACTCTGATATTACCACATAATTAAGGTTTTAAAATCTTTGAAATTTTCTTTATCTCTGGTTATTTTAATAATGTAAGATAATGACAATTTCATAACATTCTTGGTCTTAATGGGTATGACTTAGTCTGGGGAAAGGGTGGATAGGGGGTTGGGGGTAGGCCTGGTAATTAATGTGATTTTCGATTTTTCCCTTAATAATTTTCCTGCACCCCTTTAATCCTGCTTTTTTGTTCGTGTGCTAGTCCGATTTTTTAATTATTTTAATTTACATTGAAATATTAAAAAAATTATTAAAATTTTTTATCCTGTGAATATCTCAGAGGAATAAGGT